ACAATGGTTGGATAAAGAACCATGTTTCATGCTGAAACACAGTCCCAAACCGAATATTCATCAAAAAAGCTAATGGTGTCTGTCTGGTGGTCCAGTGCTGGTATTATCCACTACAGCTTCATGAAACCCAGTCAGTTGATTACAGTGGGTGTCTACTGCAACCATTTGGATGAAATGATGAGGATATTTGCAATTAAGCAGCCTCTGTTGAGATTGGTCAACAGAAGACAGGCCAATCCTCTTGCAAGACAACGCTCGACCACATGTCACACAAACAACACTGTTCAAACTACAGAGGCTGGACTTGGAAACTCTCTGTCATCCACCATGTTCACCAGACCTTGCTTGCACCAACTGACTACCACTTCTTCGAGGCTTTAGACCACTTCTTGCAAGGAAAAATATTCAATTTTCAACAAGCTGTGGAAAATACCTTTTGCGATTTCATAGCCATTCGCTCTCCAGGCTTCTTTGCTACATGGCATAAACATGCTACCATTAAGATGGCTAAACTGTGTTGATAGTTTAGGTGCATACTTTGATTAATTGTACTGCTTCTTGTTTGAGATATAATAAACTAAATTTTGATTCGAAATCGGACATTTCATATTTAATGAATACTTTAGACTATTGTTACTTCAAATAATGGACTCCTTGGTACAGGCTTTTGCACTGTTGTTGCCTAGACAACATTCAGACTATACTAGTGACCTACCTGACTGGGATTTCCGGACTGTTTTTAGTCCAGATGCAGGCACACATACTTCATGGAAACAGATTGCTGACCCAAGATCCAGCTACACAAGATTCAATTACATAGGACTGAACTAAGGGAAAGTTGTGATATTTTGTTAGGAATATTGTTTCTATTATTTTTATTACTCTAGATTTCATTAAAAAATATAAGGCAGCCCTTCCTCTAAGCTCTAAGCTAAAACTAACTCTCAATTTAGTAGCCTATGCTTTCGTAAACTGAAATTGAAACTTTTATGGTTATCTGATTCTCACATAATTCTCAGAATTCAGAGAAAAATGCTTTCACTGAATCTCTTTTCACTATCTAAATTTTATAAGTTCAATAATATATTGATCTCCTTTTTACCAGAAAATTATGAAAAATCAATTGTGCAATCAAGACCATACCTGGAATATTATATTTGAGAACGATTCTCTTTTGGGTAGATCATAAGGCTCAGTCTTGGGCTGGGTACTTGCTCAGTATTGCATGGTTCCTCATTTGCAGAGCATACTCAGGTTGGTCTAATAGTTAATGAACATTCTTTCTGTACCTCTGTCAATAATCAAGCCAACTAAATATTACAAGACCATTCCTTTGGGGATTGAGAATAATCTCTGGAGATTATTTCTCATTGCAAGTGAGGGAGACTATTCAAATATTATGTAAAACGTGGAAATAAGAAAATGATTTCTGGGTTTTCTTTCAGTGCAGTGGCTAGGTTTGCCCTTTGATTTACTTTCCACTGATTGGCCTGCTTTACAACTCTTTCAAGGGCAAATTAAACAGTTCTGGTAGAGATATAAGTAATTTGTCTAGTGGAAAAGATAATCCCAAAAGTTATAGTGTATTGCCTTGTAGGATTTTAAATAGTTTTTAAAAAATATAACCATAAATCTTATCCTAACAATCTTTTATTAAATTGCTTTTAAGTGCCCAGTTCCACAAATGCTCCTCCAGCCAGCATTTACATCTTACTGGCTTACTTGTTAATTGAGTTGGATCAAATCTTTGACATATACTCATTACATATTTGCATTAAAGTATGATTTTACTTATCTTAGCAGAGGTTCAAAATGTTTGTTAAATAAACACAGGACCACATAGATGAAGGTCCACAGTGTGCACTTCAAAGATATAGGTAGGCAGCTGTGCTTCATCCACAAAGCCACTGTACTGTCACAGGTGCTGTCCATTCAGAAGAATAGCACCTTTTTCTCTATGCGAAGGTGCCCTGCACACAAAGATATGCCTGTATGGCTGCTTTCTTCTAATTTGCACAAAGGCACTTATAAATTCGTGGTAGTCCTAGATGCATCTGTCAAAGTAATAAAAATATTTTAAAATTACAAAACTCATTGAAGTAGGTACTGGATGAAAACTAGTATAAATTTGTTATTGTTACCAAGATGGCCCCAATAAAGCAGATGGAAAAGCTTTTACCAGTTTTTTTCCCTTCTCTTTTCTTTCTTTCTTTCTTTTAACAGTTTTCTTTAGTTTCTTTATCTATAGGCACAGCTACTCAATGATACCAGAAGGCCCAAATGATACAGATAACCACATAACCCACGCGGGACGCTGGAGGTCCAGGCCTGCACAAAGCCAGGGTGCAGACCAGAGCAGGCGACCTTCAGTTATTTTAACTCATTAACATACCATTATAATACTAAAAATCACTCCCCTCAAGTGAGAATTACCACCATTTTCTGTACATGCAATAAATGAAAAAGCAGGTACATGAACTGTCCCCATGCATCTGAAACTTCACCCTGTGCATGCTCATACACCTCTTTATCCCATATCTAACTCTTTAAAATTTCTGGAGAAGGTGCCTTTAGGGCACAAGCTCTCTTCCTCCATATTTTTTGGGCCAGAAAATTAAAAATCTGAATGTTTACCAATGGAATGCTTTTTCTTTGCAGCTTACAGAAAGTAGGGAAAGAGGACAGTTTTCCTGTAACATTATGAATAACCTGGAAATATTTTTCAGTCTCTGAAAAGAAATTTGTCAATACATTATGAGCTATAAAACTCACTGTAATTTTAATTCCATGATTCTACTTTAGGGTATTTAGCCCAAGAAGATAGATTGTCCCCCTTCCTCCTCCAAACATAGATGGGAGTACATAGCAGCACATTAATAACATCAAGAAATTCCAAACACTATACACAGTTACACAATGGACTATGTCAATACCTGAGAGTATTTCTATAAACTAATAGTATGTAAAAAAAGACCCAGAATAAAAAACATATAAACTGTTTTATATATACCAGCCCCTGCAACACTGCATGATGGGTACGGTACTCATTAAAAATGTGAAAACAGAATAAATTCGTATAGTGTATTTACACTTGATATAGTATTGTAAAATTATTATGCATGTATAACAATCTACTTCCAATGAGGCTGGCAAAGATTAGAGCCACGTAGCAGAAGTTCTTGGGTGCCAAGCTGTGGAGTCTAAACTGGCTAAAGAGAGCTGTGGAATGTTTTCCAAGACAAGAAGCAACAGGATGTAACAGTATTATAGGAAACAGTTGTGATTATTTGGAGAAAGGTTAATGTGGAGTACAGACGGCTTCAGTAACCTTAGTCTTGAAAATTGGCAGGAGTGAAAAATTCTCCATTTATATATGGGAAAGGAGAGCTTGGAGTGATACAAATAATACAGAGCTTAATACTGATTCTTCTTCTGTAAAGTTGTTTACATTTCTAATTAATTTGGTATTAATAATCTTAATTTTTGTATTTTTAATTTTTTTTTTTTTGAGACAGGGTCTCCCTATGTTGCCCAGGCTGGTCTTGAACTCCTGGGCTCAAGCAATCCTCCCACTTCAGCCTCCCAAGTAACTGGGATTACAGTAATAACCTTAATTTAAAAAGTCTTAATCGACCTGGTTCTCTGTTAAGGTAGAAACACCTTGGATTTCCACAGGTTTATCACTAGAGGGCAACCTAATCATATCCACTTGACATGCCCAGTGCCCAATACTCGGAGTAGCCCTTTGTACACAGAGTACAATGGACATTGGAGACTCAGAAGAGGGAGGGTGGGAGAGCGGCGAGGGAAGAAAAACTACCTGTCAGGGGCAATGTACACTCTTCAGGTGACAGGTGCACTAAAAACCCAGACATATCACTATCCAATTCAACCATGAAACCAAAAACCACTTGAACTCCTAAATCTGTCCTCCAGCAGCATCAGCGTCTTCAGGGTGCTTGTTAGAAAGGCTGACTCTGGGCCTCCCTGAGACCTGCACAGTCAGAATCTGCATTTCAGCGACATCCCCAGTGACGGGAGCTGGAGGCCCGCCGCCTGGGGCTCACAGAGCTCGCCTGCCTTCCTGCGAATGGTGGCTTGGCATTTCTCTTCAGTGCCAGGCCTCAATCATCATCTACTGCCTTTGTCTTCGCCACTCTGTTCCTCCACATTTTCCTGCTGCCCTTGGCCATTCTCACCTCTTACCCCACAGGGGGACCCTGCAGTGGAGAAGCAGGAGGAGAGCAGAGGCAACGCGAGCCCCGCCCGGCCGGCGCGAGCGCTCCCTCCACGAGGGCCCCAGAGCGCTGCTCCCGTGCCGCTGTGCTGCTGTGGGGTGCGATCTGCTCCCGTGCTGCTGTGCTGCTGTGGGGTGCGATCAGTTCTGCTCTTGAATTACCAGAACAGAAATAGGTGACTGCTGCTTTTGAAAGTGTGTTTACCACTGAGGTCAATATATATATATATATAATTTTGTTGTTGTTGTTGTTTTAATTTGAAGACAGCGTCTCACTATGTTGCCCAGGCTGGACTCGAACCTGGGCTCAAGCGATCCTCCCGCCACAGCCTCGTGTAGCTGGGACGTCTGGCGCGCGACACCACGCATGGCTGAGGTCACACATCTTTAAATAAAATTTAGCTCTTGAAATCAGTTTGTTCGGAGGGTCTAAGGCATAAACAGCGGCCGCGCCCTCACAGCTCGGCCCGAGAGGGAAGCAGGCAGGCAGGAGGCGACGCGGCCCGCGGCCCTGTCCGCTCGACCCGGCGGCGGCGGAGGGGCGCGGCTCCAGGCGGCTCCGCCGTGGCTCCCCGGAAGGCGCTGGCGGCGGGTTGGCGGCAAAGCGCGGCTGCCCCGGCGCCGTCCGGCCCTTGGCGCTGGCGGCACCCGGCGCTGCGCGCTCGCGGCGGCCTGGGCCGCCTTCGCAAAGGCGCGAGGGCTTCCGGGGCGGAAACCGCGTTTCCGGGCGGTGAGCGGGGCCATGTAGCTGGGCCCCGCTCCGCCCGCCCCTCGGCTGGGGTTCGGCCGCGCTCTTCAGCCGCGGGGCGCCTCCCAAGCTTGCCGGCGCGTCGGAGCCCGGCGGTCGGGATCGGTGGCCCCGCGCGGCAGGTCTGGGGGGACCTGAGAGTTTCGTTTTTTCTCCGTCCCCAGGTGACGCGAATGCTGGTTGGGAACACACTCTGAGGACCATTAAGAGTCTCTAAATAGGTCGCCTCCACTCGTGGGGGTTGACCATGCCTTCTCGGGAATGTGAAACAAGAAGCCGTCAACGAGGCACCCCGCGGGGCCGCGCGTCCCCGCCGCGCGCCGGCATTGTCGCCGCAGGCCCGCAGGACTGCTTCTTCACCCTTTTGAAGAAGCCCGTTCTGCGAAAGGAGGATAAAACTTGAAAAAGCTCTGTTCAGAAGCTGGGTGGGTTGGGGGGCAGTATATGAGTGACTGCTATGTATTTTAACTACCAGATTTTTTAATATTTGCCACTGTTAAATAGTCGGTTAGGGAAAGTTCTGATTAAGCTAACGTGGTGTTACCCTCGCAGCTTATTTCAGAACAAGTCTGATATCTCAGATTCCTCCTTCTTGGCTTCATACTCTGAGCTGTTACTGTGCGTTTTTCTGTATGGACCTGCTTATGTGCACAATACATCCACATCTTTTTGTTGTTGTTGTTTGTTTTTATAAGAAGAAGCAATCAAGAAAGATAATGTGAAAAAGAAAGGAACTTAGAGGTAGGGGAAAGAATGTCAGACACTTGAATAACTGTAGGAAAATGATAAATACTTTAAATAAACTTGAGAAAATTTTCTTGACATGCAAATGAGGTAGTTCTGATCTTTGAGATAGTGACTAGAAGTACCATCTGTTTCCGCGATGGTCGCCAACCGGGATGAAGTGTGGGATGTAGTGGGATTCCGGAACGGCACTTCCAGTCCAGTGAGTCCATGACCCGCGGACCTGCCCCTGGAATAGCTTCTACTGTGGAAGTAGGACAGGTGATCTTCTGAGCCGTTGACTGAACTGGCAAAAACAACTGTTACAGATTGGAATTTCATCTTGTAAGTAGGAAATGAACGAAATAAAGACTCATCCTGAGAGGAGAAAAAAAAAGCCCGTCCTACACTGTCTGCAGAATTCAGCGCGCGCTGAAATGCGACTCGCGTGGCCGAGCCCGCAGGGGCAGCTTCCGCCGGCCTGGCGCGGTCGCGTTTCCAGGGAGACGCCCGGAGGAGGCCGGCCTCCCGCCCTGGCAGGGCGCCACGGCGTTGCTGAGGGTGCCAGAGCAACCTGGCTTCAGCCGAAGAGCAGAACGAAATGCTTCAGGTTACCGGTAACCACTAGCACGACGTGCCGCCTCGGGTGGTCTTCCTGCCTTTCCCTACGCCTGTTAATTTCTCCCCACCGACTTACCTCAGGGTTCACAATTAGTTTTTTTTAAAGTAAGGTGTTGTGTTCTGTTAAAATGCAAATAATCTCAATAATGTCTTAGTCAGTTTGGGCTGCTATAACAGAATGCCGTAAACTAGGTTTATAAACAGAAATTTATTTCTCAAAGTACAGCAGGCTGGGTGTCCAACATCAGGGTGCCAAGCAGGTTAGACTCCGGTGAGGGCCTCTTCCAGGTTGCAGGCCGCCGACCTCTCCTTGTATCCTCACATGGTGGAAAGAGGGGGGTAAAAGAACTTTTGGGGTCCTTTTTATAGGGTCACTAATGCCATTAATGAGGGTTCCACCCCCATGGCCGCATCACCTCTCAAAGGCCCCACCTCCTAATACCATACATTAGGCCATGACTGGGGATTCGCCCCTTATGGATCACAAACATTTGAATTAAGATGCTAGAGTAGCTAGTTTGGTGACAAGGTAGGGAAGAAAGATGAATTCAAAACATTGGCATCTGGGTTTCCATGAAAGGTTCAGTGCAACTTGTAGTCAGAATGAGAATAAAAAACATCTGGGAAAGGACAAGGCCAAAAGTCAGAGGATGACAAAGGACACTCACCCTAAATTATTGTCACAGATGTATCCCTCTATGTGCAATAAGACAGACCAGCAGAATGTTCAAACCTTCTCCTCTTCCCAGAAGAGAATCCTTTTTTATTCTATGAGAATCTAACCTTAATCTTATATGTGTTTTTAAGAATTATGGCATTCATAGTTACACTTGATGGTCTTCTGATGCCCAGTAGGAAGTCATCACTCAGGACTAGAGCAGGCCCTGTCATTGCCACCCCTGAGTAGATTTCATTTTAATGAACAGCATTTTTGCTGTTCCTCTGACACGCTTCCACTTCTCTGTCCAAGAAAGTTACTTGGGAGTGTTGTCCAGAATTTCCATTTTAATTATAATTTATTTTCTTGATTATAAAAATAATACATATTCATTGTGTTAAGAACTATAAAAATTGTAAGATTTTACCCTACTTGCAAGCTAATAAGTCATCCTACCATGATTTCACGGATGTTGGCACAAGACACAAAACTCCTGGGTCAGAGACAAAGGACTTCATTAATCACAGCAGTAACAGGAGCCAAAACACAAGTTCCCTAGGCCTAAATTCCCACAGGGCAATGCAAAGTAGGCCAGGTAACACCTGTATATGGAGTGGGTTTGGTTACAGGAGAGGATCCCCAAGCTTAGGGAACCCTAAATCTTTTATGATGGGAAGTGAGTCTTCCTAACTGGCCTTTGTCCCGGAGGGAGACATTACCCTTATTATACTGGACAGTAAACAAACCTGTCCCTTGCTCCAAAGAGAGACACTATCTCTACTCTCCCAGGCTGTTCATTATACAAACATCCTTGAAAAGACAGTCCAGAGCAAAGACAGTCACTGCCTTTGCTCACAAAATGTATAGAAACACAAGAGACTCATGGACATTCAACATGCCAGGGAAAATAAACACTGCTAACAAAAAAAAAATTGCAACCCCATTTCCTAGAGATAAACATTATAAACATTTTGATGTATAACCTTACAGACTTGTTCTATGCCATGCTGTTTATAGGCTTTTCCCCCTCTAAATATATATTGACTACTTTTCCATGTCATTAAATTATTCTTTTATAACATGATTTTCTTTAATATGAAGGGGAGGTGAGGAAGGGGGCTCAGTTCTCTCTCTCTCTCTCTCTCTCTCTCTCTTGAGACAGAGTTTTACTCTGTCGCCCCAGTAGAGTGCATTGGCATCATGATAGCTCACTGCAACATCCAACTCCTGGGCTCAAGCGGTCCTCCTTCCTCAGCCTCCAGAGTAGCTGGGACTACAGGCACACACCATGATGCCCAGCTAATTTTTCTATTTTTAGTAGAGACAGGATCTTGCTTAGGCTGGTCTTGACTCCTGAGCTCAAGCAGTCCTCCTGCTTTGGCCTCCCAGAGTGCTAGGATTACAGGAGTGAGCCACCGTGCCCAGCCTAACATGGTGTTTAATAGTTGCTTAAGAGTCCATTGCATGAATGTACCACAACTTATTTATTGGTCCTCTGATATTAGGTTCTCAGAGAAGAAGTAATATTTAAAGAGAGTTTAAATAAAACTTAGAATTTCAAATATGAAAATAAAATGTGACATTTTTAATATTTTCTTTATATTTCAAGTCAAAAAGTCCTTATTTTGGGGTAAGAAAGAAAATATGGCCTCTGCCTTAGGAAACCAAGATATTTGAGCAAGAGACTAGCTTTTTATCACACATTCCATCAAATATGACTAGTTTAAGGTATCGTAACAGGAAGGCAATTTATAACAGAAGGAAAAACACACCCAGAGCTGATCCCTGAGCCATTTAATTTCATGGGTAAGCCAAGGCCCCAAAACTGTACCAATGTCTTGGAGCTCATGAGGCTACTTAGGCAGAGCCTAAAACACACAGAGATAAGAATATATAATCCTAAGTAGGGGTGAGGAACCTGCGGCCTTGGGGCCACATGTGCCTTTCTGGATCCTTGAGTGCCATCTTTTGACTGAATCTAAATTTTATAGAACAAATCCTTTTATTCTGTAAAAGGCTACTAAGCTGATCACATGCAGTCTAAGCTGTATAAGAAGCTGACCAGCAAAGTCCAGCTCCAGTGGGTCTGGAACATAAAGTTTAGAACTTTACAGAAAAGCTCAAAATACCATTAATTGTTAAGAACACATATTTAAAAATATTTTGAGATGTGTGTGGGTGTGAATGCATCCACCAAAACATTATAAAAAGCAATAATTCCTCCTGTAACTTGGCAAACTCTCACAGCTGAAAATAATCAATATGTTCAGAGTTTGAGGTCTATGGCTAGGTCTTGTGCTGCATTGTTTTTTCATTGCCAAGCAGAGTTTCTCCAGTGCACTCTGCAGGCCTTTAGCTGCATGCAAAAACAGATTTCTGAGATCAGAATGTTTTTTATAGATTGGGTTAAACAGTTTTAAACAGATCCCCTTACTCCAGTACTTTTCCAAGCCTTTAATAAACTGATGTTGTTTGAGACATTCCAATATAGAATGCAGCTTTACTTAAACTTCCTAAAATATCCTAAATTTTACAAGTATGGAATGCTTCTTTCATGGAGCATATTGCAAGACCTGTGTTTGGCAGAACCTGAGCTTGAGAAGCACTGGCCTGGCACAATACAGGGCATGGGAACCTTGGGACCTTGAACATCTAACCATGTTCTTGACAAACCACCCTTCCCTATAAAGTCCAGTAAGGAAAATAACATGCCCTAGACAATGGTAGGTAACTGACATTGATTGGTATTGACATTTGACTTCAATCCAGACCTGGCAAAAGATAATGGACCTTGCAAAGAATGCCTTGTGTCTAGATTAGACAAGTCTAGAGCCAAGGAGTCAGGCAAGTCTTTGATCTTCCCACTCTGAAGATGAGACAATGTTGACCCAAAGAGGAGGAGAAAAGGGAAAAACAAGAAAGAAGATGCTTGCCCCACTGGAGGCTCTCCAAGGCATCAGCAGTTGCAGTGCTGAGCCCTTGGCCCTTCTCATCTTACCTGCCAAGGCAGTGCACAGGGACAGTGAGGAAGAATACTGGAGAGGAGAGGGTTGCACCTCACCTGCCTCCTGGATGAGGAGCATTTCAAAGGCTGGGCTTTCAGAAGGAAGCATCTCACCAATCCATCCATCCACTCGTTCTGCCATAAAGATGTGTGCTCCCACTGTGTGCCACCCAGTAGCCCCGGGGTGAGGGAAACAGATAAGGTCTCTGTGCTCAAGAAGTTTCTGGGGGTGATGAAAGCTGTCAAAAAGCAGAATTTCAAATTGAATTTCAAAGATCTAATTGGCATTTATTAGAGATTTATAAACTGGGCATCATCCAGTCTACAAATAGAAGTTCCAACAAGCTAACCAGAGTGAGTGAGTTTTATAGACAGAAAAAAGCAGAGGAAGCAGGAACAAGAAACGAATAGTAGATTAGTCATTTCAGGGTTACTTTCTTTCTGGGGATGTAAGTAAAATCTTGTTGGCTTAATGGGATTTGGCTATTGTCTCTCTCCTGATGTCTTAGAAGGGCAGATCTTACAAGTAAACAACTTAATGTTTTTGGTTTGGTGATGTAGCACTTTAGCATAAGTGACTCCATTTGGGAGATGCTGTCTTTTCTTTAACACAAGGTAGGGGAGACACAAACTAATCAAATCCACAAAAGGAGAAATAAAGCAGGAAAGGGGCCAGAGAAAGTTTGTTCACTGTATTCTCAAAGTCTGACAAATAGTAGGCGTTCAATAAATTTTGTTATATCAGACCAGGAAAAGGAGGGAGAAGGGATGGATAGGGAGAGATTAAATATAAAATGATATATAATTAAATGATACAAAATTAAATTACAAAATGTTAAATGATACAAAATTACAGCTGGTTAGGAGAAATGAGTTCTAGTGTTCTATGTCACTGTAGGATGACTGTAGTTACAGTGAGAAGGAGGATTTTGAATGTTCCCAACACCAAGAAATGACAAATGTTTGAGATGATGGATATGCTAATTACTCTGATCTGATCACACTATATATAATATGTATCAAAACATCACCATTCCATGAATATGTACAATTATAATTTGTCAATGAAAAAATTAACAAATGCAAAAAAATGTATCAAGTCAATGAAGTACCCTCATTAGAACCTTAAGGGGTAGATATTATTATTACATCTCCATTTTACAGATAAGAAAATTGAGATCCAAAAGGGATTAAGTAACTTACCCAAAATCACATAGCTAATGGATGGAATACAGATCTCTGAACCCTAATGTTCAAGCTGTAGAGCCAAGATCAGAGCCCCCCTGCTATGTACTACATTTCCCTGTCCCTATGAAGTTTACAGTCAAACTCAA